ACACCTTTAGCCTTTCTTCCCATTTCTAAATGTCAGTAATCTTATTAGGATCTTCTGTATTATTACAGGTTATTCACACCAGAGAAACTATTCGGTATTTACACATGTGTGCCTTATTTTTTGAGTACAAGTATGAAGCAATTCAAATGACAAAATCCTTGCAAAGTCTGAGTAATGGAGATTTTCACATTATTTTAACAGCGCTGAGGTTATCAATAATGTTGCATTCTTCCCCAGGTGACAGCCCAGTGTCTGGATGTGATGTATTTATGGCTGTCACTGCGGCAGCAGAAGTTGGAGTATTGGCATCTAGTTGAGCATAGCCATGAAGTTGCTAAATAGCCTTCAATTCACAGAGCAGTTTTCCTACACCAAAGATTTATGTAGTCCAGAATATCAGTAGTGTGAGTTTGAGACTGTAGTTAGCAAGAGATGCCATTGTGATACCTACCTTATGAAAAGAAAACTGCAATGCAGTGAGAGGAAGCAACTTGACAAGAATGCAGATGTAAAAAGTGATAGCAGGGTTTGAATCACACTCATGACTCCTGAACATACACTTTCTACTCCTCACCAGAGAAAACAGAACTGTTCCAATAGAATGGTTTTTCAACTAAGACACAGAAGATAACAAGCCAATATTAAAAGTTGAATCTCTCCTGAGAATTTCAGTTCTTTGCCTCAATTTTATTTACTTTAAATTACAATATTGTGGCTGCCTACCTTAATAGTCAGTGAAGACAAAATAGTAAATAATATTGCAACTCATATAGACCAAGTTATGCACTGTACATAAATAAGGATGAATAAAGCTTGAAGCTTATCTATAACTTCCTACATGTTCCAAATTTTAGGAATTCAGGCGGTAAAAGAGTCATGTAAAATAAATACACAAGCCCAGGCAAAGCCTTCCTCACGGTGATCTTGGAAGTCTTGTGTTCATGTGATAAAAATTGAACGGTGGGAGATGGAAGTAAAGGAACAAAGCAGCCTGATTTCCTCTTCCCTGCCTCTGGGAAGTTTTCTATTTTTTTCTTTCCTGGATTTTTCTTCACAGGGTTAAGTACTTTTGTATGATAAGATTTTAAGCATAGATAGTTAACACGCATCTACTGACCCTCTCTTAAGCTGAATACTTAGACTTACCATCTGGGTATCCTTTTTCCCCCAAGATATTTGAAATAGATATGAAATATCATACTAGGCTATGTATCTTTAAACAAGCTGAAATGAATACTGATTTTATTGACTTCCTAACCTCTGTATTCCCGAGGAAAGGGCGATTGATTTTAATTTTTAAATGTTTTCTTCAAAATTAGACATAGTATAAAATACCAAATAATAATTAAAAGCCTCATATGAAAATAAGCCTCTGCCACATCTCTGGGTTTCCTCAGACTGCTCCCCGAGGCAACCTCTTTCAATTCTATGTGCAGTTTCTTCTACTCTGTGCCTTTGTATTCCTGTGCAAAATTATTATTTTGCTATTCTTGTTGCTCTGTGCTTTGAAATTTATCTGCGGAGTAACTCCTTCCACGCTTGATTTTTTACTCCCCACCTCCATCTTTTCAATATATTATCCTTGTTCCCCATCCTTCATCTAAACCTTGGGGGCCAAAAGCAGTTCAGAATTCAAACTCTGGAGGACTTGAGAAAGTTAATATAATCATAGACCATGTATTGCTTAACATCCCCAGTGGGATCCGAGGCAACACTCCATAATGAAACACATTACATTTCTGCAACAAAACATGAATATTGATACCAAAGTTGGATAAATAAAGACTATAAATAGACATGTCAGTTCAGATCAGATTTTGCCATCAAATGGTGTTGTTCTAAACTTACAAAAATCTGTTGCTTTTCATAGATAAAGAATAATGATAAGATAAAGAAACATGGACTTGGATCATAATATTGTTAAATCAGTAACCAGTGTTCACATTGTTATGACGTGATGTGATGTGATGTGATGTAACATTGTTTAGTTCTGAGTTAGGTGGTGTAGTAGATGGTCCATGATCTTGCTTAGTTTCTCATAGAATCTTTTTTAAAAATTGTATTGGTACTTTTAAGTGTCATAAAATCTTTTGTTTTTCCTGGAGTTATTTGCCTTGTTTTTCATTAGCTTAATTTTCATATATTCATATGTATTTGCATACTCTGGTAGATCTGATAGATGCCTATTAATACTTGTTCTGCAGACATCTTTCTCCTGTCTTCTGACCTCCTCCGGGAAGTGGAACCAGTTGTTCCCAACTTTGTTGTATACCTCATTTTGGTTTCACGTCATACTCCAGAAAAGGATGCTCTATAGTAGCTTCTGGAAAAAGTGCTTCAGATAGTACTGTGGATTGGGTCTTTACATTATTTAACCAGGGAGAGAGCTTAACATGAAAGCAACTTTTATTCAATATTTTGTGGCTGTTTGTTTGTTTGCTTGTTTGTTTTTGGCTTCCAGTGTTAGCTATGGAAGGATCCAACACCATTCCAGCTCCTGATCCTTAGCATGACATGGTTTATCCCCCATGGATCCTTTTAGTATCTTCTCTGTACTTCTCATGTTCTTGGAGTGAATCTTTCTTAGTGACTGCTCTGGGAATGCAGTGACTATTTTAAAGTAGAAAATTTATTATTTTTTACTGTGGAAATTTAAAAAAATTTTTGTCTTTAATGATTTCTTCCTACCCGTCTTATATGATGTCCTGAGAATTCCTGTTAGGGTTGAGGCTCAGTCTGGAATTTCCTAGTTAGACAAGCAATGACACATGTTGCTCTTCTAAGGTGTTTTTATGTTCTTCTCTCTATTATAAAGTTTTTTCTGTACTGGGGATCTTACTCAGGACCTTACACTTGCGAGGCAGGCACAGAGCTACTGAGATAAACCCCTGGACCTCTTCTATCTTGAAATTAAAAAATGACTAAGCAGCTTTTTACTGTTCTGAAACCAACACATAAGATTTAAGTAGGAACATATTAATGGTGTTACAAACTGCTTTGTTGCCACTTTCCTCTGAAAATACCTACATGAAGTGTTCTGCTGCGTTTAACAAACATGGTAGGCGCCATCGTTAAAATGTGGGCTACTGACCATCGGATGAGATCCCACTTCCTAGATTTTGCTGCTTAATTTGTTAGCAAAGAGTCATGTCTTGATCATTTAAATTCTTCTCTCCTTTCATTTCTGCATTTATAAAATGGATATGATAATTGAACCTACTTTATATTGTTTTGAGGATTAAGTGAATGAATGCATGGAAAACCCATAAGAAAGTACAGGATAGAGGTAGCATGATCAACAAAATTAGCTATTATTACAGTTAAGGCCTCATCTCAGGTTATTTAGGCCATTATCATTCCTAATATAGTTAATAGCTCATCAGCTCATCTCTTTTATAAATGCCATTTAATAAGGGACCTCGAAAAAGATTATCTTTAAGATTATAGGAATATTAATATCAATCGTCATGTCTACCTGCTCATAAAGGCTGGACTTCAGGCATGCGCTTGGGATGCTCATTTACCTAACAGAGTCTCCCTGTCCTGTAGTACCTGGAGAAGCCAGGAAAGGGGCACAGGTGTGCCTGAGCTTGGTAGCATGGAGGGTGGTGAGCATCCATAGAGGCATGAACTCCAATGGCGCTCAAGATGATTGAAGTGGGTCACGGTCTGAGAATTAAAGGAGCATGATGAGATGATGGATTTTGATTATTTTCAAAGCTGGCTTATTTTTATAGTCAGTAAGAAATAAGTAATATGTGAGAGGAAGTGCCCAGAACTCCAAACACAGGACATAGAGAAAGGAAAAGAGAGTACCTAAGAAGGCAACTGTGCCAGGTTAAATGCCTTACCTAATACAATCAATACCTTTGTGACTTGCTTAGCTATTCTTTCATATACTTCCCCAAATTATGTCTACTTTTGCTTAATCCTTGCTTGGAAGCAGTACATTTTTCCTGTCATATAATAACAGAAGTAGAATTAAAGAATGGACCTGGTTCTCCAGTAGCAGGTGAATGTTTCCTTCAATCGGAATGCAAAAGAAGTCAACTTCTGGGTCTGTTGTCTCTTACTCAATAGGAATGATGTTCCCAACATTTGGTGACATCTACTTGGCCCCCTTTTCTGATGACCAGCTCTACATGGAATATTACTCCAGAGCCAACTTTTGGTAAGTTTCCCCCTTCACCACTTCTGCCTTCAGAGTACTCCAGAGTTGGTAAAACTGCTGATATTTTGGGTTATCCTGGATGTTGTAGGATATTAGGCAGGATCCCTGGCCTTCACCTTTCTGTGCCAAGAGCAGTTTCTCCTAAGAGTTGTGACTACCCCGAATGTCTGCAGACATTTCCAAAGTCATTCATGGGAAAGAAATCAGACAAAGACAAATCAAGGAGCTGCTTGTCCAACACCACGCACTCTAAAAAAATCCATCAGGCTGCTGCATGGATGACATGGTCCCCAGATGCTTCTACTTTTCATCATCTCCTCCTTAGGCTCAGGCTTCTGTTGACATGAGAAAGCATACCACTCAATACCTCAATAATTTATGGACTTTTGCCAAATCTTGTAGATTTAATTGGCTGTTGTTTCTAGGCTGCTCACTTTGTTTTAATGAGACCCATTTCCTTCACTTGTCCAGGGGAATCTATTAAAAAAAAACCTTCCAGTGATAGCAAATTATCATTGCTTCTTCAATTCTTATAATAAAACTAGTCTTTATAAGGAGGAGGGAAAGAGAGGGCAGCCCTGTCAGAGTGGTACATGAATGGAAGAGAGATGGGCATGTCCCATAGGTGGGTGAAGGCAGGAGCTAAAGGTGAAGGTTTGAGTATTGACTGAGGTATGCAGAGCTTTCTCACAGAGACACAGCCAAACCTTTTCTTCTACCACTATGTTCATTTGGTTCCAGCCACACAACATTTTACTGGTCCCCAGACACATCTTATATACTCTTACCTTTCCACCTTTGTCATTGCTTTTTTTTTGTTTTGTTTTGTTTTTGTAATTCTTGTGAAGCAGCTGCAAACACGTACCCCTAAGAGTGACAAATTTCTTGGAGGAATGGGTCAAAGGGCTTTTTCTTTCTCCTCATTTTATTTTCAAAACTTTCTACAACGGAGTGTAGTGTTTTGTGATTTTATTCAATCTGTAATCCCAAGGTTCTAAATCCCAGGCTTTCTATTGGGAGTGAATGGCTTCTTGGTGTATATGTGTTTGGGTGGGTGGAGTGGGGGAAGGCTGGAGAGGATGCTTATCTTAACGATAATGATCATTGTTTTGTGAGGTTTTGCTGACCCGGAATGTTTATATTTTAAGTGTGACCTCCTAAGCCAATGGAGAGGATGAAGAGTTAGGAATTTTAGGCAGCAAAATAGATGGCACCAACAAACCAGAGGTTTGTCATCCAAGCAGTCCTTGTGAGACCTCTCAACCATACCTTCTGCTTTCACTTGACTCTTATTTTTTTCATTAGGTTTATTGGTTCATTTTAGGTATACAGTACAGTTAGATTCATCATTAGGATCTCGTACCTTTACATGATGTATCTTAGTTATTTTTTTCACCATTCCCCTGCCCTCCCTTCAGCCTCTCCACCCTTTGTTTCCATTTTTTTTTCCTTTTTCTCAAATTATTTTCTTTTCCCTTCTTACCTTTCCCCTACCCCTCCCACTTCCCCTACTCCTTTAGACCTTCCTATTACATACTATCCATTATACATTTTTCATACCAGAGAAACTATTGAGTGTTTATAAACATGTGTCCTATCTTTCTTAGTTTCACTTAAGAGTATGGCCTCCACGTGCATCCACTTAGCTATATATATATATCTCTAGTTTTTCCTCCTTTATGGCTGAGTAGTACTCCATTTTATAAAAAATCCACTTCTTCTTTATCCAGTCTCCAGTTGGGCAATTGGGCTGTTTCCAAGTTTTAGCTATTATAAACTGTGCCACTATAAACATGGGTGAGCCTATATCATTGTTGTATGATTTTTTAAATTCTTTGGGAAGATACCCAGCAGAGGAATAGCTGGGTCAAATGGGACTTCTAATCCTAGTTGTTTGAGGCATCTCTATATTGATTTCCACAGTGGTTGCACCAGTGGAATGAAGATTCCCACCAACAATGGGAAAGGGTTCCTATCTCCCCACAACCCCACCAGCATTTGTTATTGGTTGATTTCTTGTTAGAACCCGTTCTTTCTGGGGTGAGGTGAAATCTCAATGTTGTTTTCGTCTGCAGTTCCTGATTGACCAGTGATGTTGAACATTTATTCATGTTTATTTACTGGTATTACTTCTTTGTCTGGGAAATGTCTGTGCTATGGAAGATCTGTTTATGAATTATTTTCCTGTGCCAATGTCTTTGAGAGTCCTACCTAACTTATCTTCCATGAAGTTTAGGGTTTCTGTTTTAATATTTAGATCTTAATCCACTTCAATTTTACTTTAGTGCATGGTGAAAGATACAGGTCTAATTTTAATCATTGCAAGTTGAAATTCAGTTTTCTGACACCATTTATTAAAGAGGCTATCTTTCCAGTGAGGATGGTTGGTTCTTTTGTCAAAGATCAGGTAGCTTAGTATGTCTGGAGTTGATTCCTCCGTCTCCTAATTTATTTCACTGATCCTCAGGTCTGTTTCTTTGCCAGTGCCATGCTGTTTTTATCACAGTGGCTTTGTCATATAGTTTCAAGTTTAGAACTGTGATAGCCCCTGTCATTTCTGTTGCCTAGAATGAATTTTGCTCTTCTAGGTCTGTTCTGGTTCCAAATGAATTTGTAGATTGCTTTCTCTAGTTCTGTGAAATATTCTATCAGGATTTCAATACAGATTATGTTGAATCTGTGTATCAGTTTTGGAAGTATGGCCATTTTCACTATGTTCATTCTTCCTACCCAGGAGCAAGGGATATCTTTTCATTGGCTTATATCCTCTTCGACTTCTTTTTGCAGAGTGTTGTAGTTTTCAGTGTAGAGGTCTTTTGCTTCCTTTGTTAGATTGATTCGTAGAAATTTCATTTTATTTTTTGGATGCTATTGTGAAAAGGATTGTTCCCCTAATTTCTCTCTCAATGAGTCTGTTATTTGTGTACAAGAAGGCCCTTGATTTTTGAGTGTTTACCTTGTGTACAACTACTCTACTGAATCTGTCAATTAAATGTAGAAGTCTTTTGGCAGAGTCCTTTGGGTCTTCTATGTAGAATATCATATTGTCAGCAAATAGTGAGTTTCACTTCTTCCTTTCCTGTCTTGGCTATCTTGAGAGTATCAATGATCATAATAGAGTGGCTTGGATACTCAGTAGTATACAAGCATGCTGTTATTTATTCCATTTAAAAGGGAAAACAAAATCCAACTCTTTCTTTACTCCACTTACACAGTCAGCCATACTCATTTATTTCTGTAAGCATTTTTGCAGTGAATTTCCTCAAAAGACTTGTGCACACTTGCAGCATTCAATTGCCCTTTTCCATCCATTTCTCCAAAACCAGACATCCGTGATCTGACCTCCATGCTGGTAAGCCCATGCTCGGTACTCACTTTTCAACTTAGCCTCCTGGCAGCATTTGAAACACTCTTTTTGCCCCACAGTCTTCTGATACTGCTCCTGCCTCGCTGGTTATTTTATCATCCACCCTTCCCTGGTTTGTACTTGTCTTTGTATGCTACCGATAGGGAGAGACTACTATACAGTCCACAGTTTCTTTCTTTGTGAGTTCATCTATTTTCAGAGTTTCAGAGAGCATCTGTTGCTTGTGTTTCCCAGAAGTGTTCTGTATCCCAGAAGTGTCCCCTGAACTCTGTTTTCAGTCAGCTGCCTCCTACACATCATCCCTTTCAGAGACTCATGGTGTCTTCAACGCAGTTCCTGATCTCTCCATTACCACCCAAAGCCTGTTCTGTTCCTAGACATTTCATCTGAATTGATGACAACTTTATCCTTTCAATCATTCAGGCCAAAAACTTTAAAGGCCTCTCTTGATCCCCCATAACCAAACCACCAAGAAATTATGTTGGCTCTACTTTCAAAACATGTCCAGAACCTGGCCAATTCTCAACTATACTCACCATTACCCTTGCTCCCAGCCTCACAGCCTCTCATCTGGATGATCACAGGGGCTCCTTAACTTAGCTTTTCTCAACATAGTCAGAGTCTTACAGTAGGCTTTGCCTTGTTTGACTCCTCACTACTCTTTAACCTCATTTCCTCCTGCCACTTTTATTTGGCTCCAAGCATACACTCTTTAGTAGTCCTCAAGTATATCAGACATGTCCCATCTTATCCTGTTTGCTGATGTCTTATTTAGAATACCGTTTCCTCAACATTCACCTGGTTAATTCCTTCCATTCCTTAAGGTTTTTGTCAAGTGCCACTTCTCAACGAGACCTGCCCTAACTACTGTATTTAATAGCACAGCCATACCATTCCCAACACTCTGTTTTTCCTCTAGCACTTATTGCCTTCTTTCTTATTGTCTTCTGTTAGTATGGAGGTTCTTGGGTAGGAATCCTATCAATTTTCGCTGATGGGACCCAAACCCCCAGGACGGTGCTACCATCCTTTAGGAACTCTATTAACATTTTTGGATAAATAAAAAGTCCAGTAAGCTCAAGTATGCACAAAAATAATTACTATTAAGATTTTTGTTGATAAATCTTTCAGTTCTCTCTCCTTAAAAAATAGACTTATGCTACAAATACCATTCTATAGCTTGTCTTTTTTTTTTCTTTGACAGTATTTTGTTGGTATGTCCTGAGGTATTTAAAATATTTTCTTGTTGCAGTTGGTATTTTTGTGGCAATCTCACAGTCTGTTGATTCATGCTCTAATGTTGGATATTAAGTTATTTGAATTATTATTTTCATCTATAAATTCTATAAATGACATTCATGTGTTTCAGTATTCTACAAGAATAGAGAATTTTTTATTCTATTTCCTAAATTTTATAAGAAATAATGCTAGTATAAACATCTTTTTTACAGAAATCTTGGTATGCATTCTGATTGTTTCCTTGTGATAAATTGCTAAAAGCAGAATTACTGGACCAAAAGGTGTGAAGAAGGAATCTATAAAAAATTACTCATATATTTTCAAACTGCCCTCTAGAAAAGTTTTACCAATTAACACTTCCACCAGTGGTATATGGGAATGTCTGCTCTGTCTT